GAGAAGTGTTAGCCTATGATCCTCAGGGTCAATGAAAGCTTCCAGAAAGAGCAAGGCTATATCCAGGATGCCCTCATGGGAGAGAAGTTGCTCTAACCACTTGGCTGTGGACAAAGAAGCCCTGAGTTATCCTGCCTCTTCCTCTAGAAAACCTTGACTCCATGGGTTCATTCTCACTGTATAGCATTCAAATCTAAATGATGCTATCTGCTTAATTTTTTATAAACAGTGCCTTGCAGGGAAATGCTTTAATGAATCCTTTTTGATTTACTGGTTGGTTGAACCAATTTTGGAAAAGCCCTGCAAAGCATGAATTAAAATAAAAATTGAGTTTAGAAAATATCAGCTTGCATATTCCAAAGGAGATAAGCTCTTCTTAACTTGCCCTCACAATTCTCCCTTACAGAAAACCCTTTTCAATATACTCCTGGCAATAACTAGCAGGGGAAGGCTATGCAAAAATAATATCTATATTTCCTGTCCACTTAAAATGGATTTCACAGAGAAAATCCGAGTTGATCATTTCAAATTAGTATCCAAGTATTTTGATTTAACTGTCCCCTTCGCCCATCCAAATTTATTTTGAGCTCCTTAAGCTGGGAAACATGTTTTATACTTACTTATATTATTCAAGTGACCCAATTGTATTGGGTGAGGTCTGTTGAATGATTGAAGTGTCTTAGTTTAAACTAAGGTTTTGGGACACCTGGGTGGCTCAATGGTTGAGCTTTTGCCTTTGGCTCAGGGCATGATCTTGAGGTCCTGGGATCAAGTCTTGCATTGGGCTCCCCGCTAGGGGTCTTCTTCTCCCTCTGCTTATGTTTCTTCCTCTCTCTGTGTGTGTCTCATGAATAAATGAATAAAATATTTTTTTAAAAAATAAGAAAAAGTAACTAAAGTTTCTTTTAATGCCAACCTAGAACACTTTGGAACAAAAGAGCTGACTTGGATTGTCATTATGACCTCAGTTAACAGAGGGGAAGCAAAGGGAAGCATAGATAACAGCAGTGCTTCTTTGGCTAAAATACAAACACTACACGACTTCAGAAATAAGAACCAAGGACAAAAGTCTTGGCATTTTGGTGAGTCCTTCATAAGCAAGAAAACACATGAGGTTTTGATATAATCCAAGAGCCATTCTATCAGTGCTTTAAAGAGAGTAGAAATTAAGCTATATTAAAGCTTGTCTTGGCCCAATTATGGAGTGAAAGTGAGGCATCCATGGAATGGTTCCAAGATAGGTTTCAAATCAGTTTGAATCCAGCTATTTGGTCCTTATTAGGACTTGAGGAGACAGCCAAGAATTACATTTAATTCATTATCTTGTTCTGAAAGCACTACAGTGGCTGCTACACAAATTGAAAGCAGCATTTACACAAGCTAATACCCATGGTATCTTTCCAATTTATCTTTTGGGCATTATCACCTCCCATTGCACCTCCTTGAAAGTTGGACATGCAACCTGAATTCTTATTTTGTAGGATGATAGCTATTCACCCCGAAGAGAACATTGAAGAAAATGGCCCCACATTAAAGTGCTAAGAATGCTACCTGAAATACATTTTAAAAGATTTGAAAATAGCTACAGTCTTATGGCAGAAATTGTGCTATATATAAACTTGCCTTTTAGGCAGTCCATTCTTTCTGGATTGAAGCTGCAGTATTATTACTGACTTAATTCATTGCTGTTCGACTCATGTCTAGCAATCTGCTGTAGATTCACAATAGAATTACTGCCCTCCTTTGTGACACATTCAAGACCACTGATGTTATTTGTTATTTGTCATTGTTTTTCAAAAGCGAGAAAATTTAAGGAGCACGTTTATCTTTGTGATGTGAAAGTAAATATAACCTGTTGAAATTCAAGATGGGGATACATTCCTTTAGGAAACTGGTAGGAGTGATACAGGAAGTAATGTTGCCCACATATAGAGTGATTTCTAACAGTTCATTGATCTGACTGTTTAGTGTCGCCTTTGAGTTGTGCATTAACAAAACCCTGCACAGCTATTAAATTGACAGCATAATCCTAGAGTGTTTTATGTAACGAGACACTAGCAATAGAGAATGCAGTATGAACTCCCAGATATCAGGCAATGGCACTCCAAGCCAACTTGTATTAATGCTTTATATTGATGTAAAACCTTTCTTCCAAAAAGTAAAAAGCACTTTCTTGAAATTGTCTTATTGGGTTTTGTAACAACTCAGCAATGCACAGTGTCTGAGACCACAATGTGTTGGGCTGAGATAATACCAGTTTCCCGATTCCTAATCTAGTATTTCAAATGTTTAATCATTAGTCATCCTTCCAGTTTCCAAAAATGCCAAAAATTATTCATTCTGTACAAGGCTTGAAAAAGGTTATATTTCAGAGAAGTTTCTTTTAGAGCCTCTAAACCATTAAGTAAAAGTTTAAAAATCAATTGTATAAGAATTCAAGTGACTTTCTTTTAGCTAAGGATTTAAGTCTATTATTTCATCCTTTTATAGAAGAATAAAGTGAATGTTAAGAAAAGATCAATAAAATAGATATTTTCCAGTAACTACACAAAATATTCCGAAAGTTAAGCATAATCATTACTAATTCAAAATGGTTGACTAATCTTTTAAAAATGTTCACCAATCTTTTAAAAAGCTAAGGATTAGCCATCTTAGGAAATGTTTAGGATCATTTTGATACAGATATCAAATGGATGAATAGTTTCTTTCTTTTGGAGTGTAATTTTGGCTTACTTTCTTATAAGCACTTACCAGGCTCCAGTGCCTAAATTACAAAATTTTCCTCCAGATGTACAGAATGCACCCAGAAGTGAACACTAAAAAATAAAACTATACAGATGCTTTTGGTGGTCCAAAAGCAAGGTATACAAACAAATCAAGGCTCTCACCACTAATGTACCTTCCTGCTTTATTAAGTTTAATACAGTGACTTAAGGCCTAGCTCAATATAGTGCCTTTTTCTGTTCTTTCAGAACACATCTTCTCTTACTTCTCTCTTAATCAGTTGGCTTTTGAAGATATTTCTATCAATGGGGAGGAAAAATCCCTTCCTAAAGCTAGCAACTGATAGTAGCTCATTGAAATTTCATAAGAAGGAGCACTGAGCATGTTCATTTTCCTTCAGTTTTGCTAAGATGCATGATAGATTTACCAACACCTGCTGTTACGATTTTGTTTGCCCTTTGAATTAAAATATAGCAAAAGAAAAAAAATGTACACATTTCATTTAGGTTGAAACGACCTTACGCTAGCAAAACCATGTGCCATCTTTGCCTTTTCTAGATTCCATATACTTTCATTTAGAGCAACAGTGTGTTTGGTTAATAACCTTACTGTTTTCTGCTGTTAAGGGAACTGAAGTGCCATTAACACATATTAAAGTACCATTGATTCCATTAGTGCCGACAAGCACTAAATCCCAATTTCTTTTTAAATAAGCATTAAAACAAATGCAGATGTCCTTTATTAACAAGTAACATGCTGAGCAACCCTTATTGCAATAGTTTAATACATGAGAGCTATCTTAAGGACCAAGTTAGAATCTTAAGGAGCTGAAATGCTAGAACATGGGTACAATGAAGGACAAGTGAAGGAATAAATATGAATTTTCTATATGCAAAGGCCGTTATCTGAAGGGTCATGTTTCTTGTCCCTTATTAGAATCATGATCACTTTTCACCTTTATATGTCTCTGCATTTGTATAACACACATAATGCCATACCAGTGAAGAGACACAAGCTGTAGATTTATAATAAAGCAATTTATTGGGGCACTTGGATGGCTCAGTCAGTTGAGTTTCTGCCTTCAGGCTCAGGTCATGATCCCTGTCAGTCGTGCTTCCTGCTGGGCAGGGAGCCTGCTTGTCCCTCTTCTCCCAGCTAATGCTTTCTCTTGCTCTCACTCTCTCTCTCTCTTTCTGTTTCTCTCTCATGTCTCTCTCAGATAAATAAATAAAATCTTTTTTAAAAAAACAAAGCAGTTTCTGAATGAGGAACTAAAGCTCAGAAATGGACATGGCTTAAGTAGGCTCCTACTCTGTGATTTCTAGATGTGGTCCTTATGATTAGATGTTCCCATAAAATAGTAAAATACTTTCAATTGTGAAGCAATCTCAAGGGAAAATATTTATGTGCCTCGGCATTGGGCCTTCTTAAAATATATGACCATTCTAGGGACCTTTTTCATACCAATAGAACTTAGAAGATTTCAGCATAGACCTTAGAGTCAAATTTGCAGCAAAAACAAAATGTTTTCTCTTTTAGTATTAATCTCATCTCTAAGCACTATTTTATTTCTTTACCCTTTCCCTCCTTGTATTTCATCTCTTCTTTACTTATTTCTGATAGGATTATGCTAGTTGGATGTATTCCTCGAACTCTGCTTCTATTACTTTTCAAATAAAGATATAGACAAAAGAGAGAAATTGGCTTGTTTTTGTTTGTTTGCTACTGCACTTGCAGAACCAAGAAGAGTGCCTGAAATAGAGAAGACGCTCAATATTTGTTGAATAAATGAAAACATGGTAGATGATAGGTAAGTAGATAGAAATTGATGGATGAGAGATAGATAGATGATAGATAGATAGATAGATAGATAGATAGATAGATAGATAGATAGATAATACTGGTAGGAAACTAAGAAGAAAGGGAAGAAGGCATGGAGGAAAGAAAGGCATTATTAGGCAAATGTACAGGCTCACAACTGTGGAGAATTTTACTCTACCTACTTAGAGTTTGACAGAGTGGACAATAGTTAGAAGCCCTAGAACACCAAACTATACAATCTAATAAGTAGCCTTCCACAGTTCCACGGATGCTAACAAATGACACAAGACTCTTCAGAGACAAAGTGCTTTATTACTTTTACAACAAAAGCAATAGCAGGAACATCAACATATTTGTTGTGCCAGTTCCCTGAGCTTCAGGTTCCACAGGGCGATAAGTAGAGCCAGATAGAACCTGACATGGAACAGAGGGTGCCATAGGAAAGGAACCACAAGCTTAAGGACTCTGCTACTTTTATAGCAAGCACTTTAATATGCTCGGGAGAGAGAGCAGATGTGTCATAGGACCTGTGATTCATTACCCTGCTTTCCAGGATTGCCACTTCAAGGATTCCCAGTCTAGGAAAAATGAGTAAAAAGAGCAAAAATTTAATAGAGGATAAATCTGCTTTAGTATGTAGTTTCAGGGATTAAACTAGTGAGCTACGATGTATGAGTAAGAGATAAGCTGATGATGTGCCACGGAACTTAGAAGACATACTGAGAGGTGACTGGCCAAATAGAAGAATAATAGCAGAAAGTTATCAGCTCATTCATCACATGAAATACACTGAGACAACTTGGAGTCCATAGCAACATCCCCACCCTAAAACAGCATGTGTCATGGATGGTCTCCACATACACAGGCATGTATAGGAGTCATTGGAGTGTCATGCGTTGCGACCAGAGGTATTAGACTGGAGCTACAGGGGGTGGAGGGAGTGGCTGAGTGTAGAACTGATAGGCTACTTCACTGAAAAACACTGGCGCTTAGGCTGAGTGTATGTGGTTGCCCAAAGGAAGTTTCCCATTGCAAGAGGATGGGGGAGTAGGGGTAAAGGCTTGGCATCTATATTCACAATGTAATGTCCTCTAACCAAACATCTTGGGTGGCTCATGTGGGTGTCCTGTAGGAGGTTCTCTGCTAAACCCATCCATGAACTCTCGCTGCAAGCCGTCGAGGTTGTCACGATCTGTCTCTCTTCTTTGAAAACCTTCAAAAATATTTTTAGTATATTTGCTTTAGGAAAAAGTGTGGTGCATTATGTTTGGTTTTTACATGCAGCTACTTTCTCAAGGATTTTGTTGTAGTTGGATAGCAGGGAGGTCGGAAACAGAGGGGCACTAATGACATTTAAAAAGAACATCTTTTTATCTTTTGGGGTTTTATAGCAGCTTTAGTTACTTGTTTATCTCCTGAAATTATAGCTTCTTTTTTATATAGAAATCTTAATTTCAATTCCCTGCAATATCAAAAGCAAAACAGAGGCCATACTCCTTCAGATGAGCAATAAGCAGCAGGCTAAATGAACTCTGCATACTTCCTTGGTGTTTTAGTGGTCTGTAGTTAGTTAATAAGTTGTTATTCATTTTAAGAAAAAAAAAAAGACTACAACAGAAATTCAGGTGGAATAACCAAAAAGGAAAAAAAAAATGCTACAAGTCTCTCAGATTTGTTTTCCTGCAGAGTTATTTCCAGGTCTAGGATGTTTCTGTCAGCGCATTTTTTCCTATGGAGATACATGTGTCATTCTCATAATCTTGTACATATAGGGCGACATCCTAAATGAGTTTTAAGGGTCTCCTCTAGACTGGGCCTTCTGTTCAATGCTGCCACCAGTTTATTAGAAAAGCATGAACTGAGTAGTTGTTTTAGTTTGAGTCTCAAGATAAAATAATTATGAGTCTCCAAGACATTCCACAGATATATTTTGATAAATATGTCCATATTTGTTTACAGTATGTTAGATGACTTTGTTCATATACCGAAAAAAATAAATCTGATACTAAGAATTCCAAAAAGAAGCAAAGAAGCTAAATATCAGAACCATGAAATAAGATTTCTTAACTCTTAAGTTTGCTTTTATCTTGAATCTCACTCAAAAGAGCCTTGAACATGTTAACATTGTCCCAGTCATAGATAATTCTATCTGGCATTGCTTCACTACTTATCCAAAAGCCACAAGGTCTTGAAATACCTTAATTTGCTTAAGTTTCAGAGCATCTTCTTTCAAGTCTTCCTCCAATTGAATATCTTAAAGTGGAATGTCTTGTACAATAGGATGAACACCTTCAAAAAAAACCACATTGCATAAGAAAGGAGTAAGCATTGCAAATATTTCCCATTTGTATTTTTTCGTTAAGTATTGTTAAATAACAGGTTTGGACAATAATTATAATAAACTATATTCAAGGCCATCCATACTTGTTCAAAGGCAAAAAACTTCTGTAAGAAGGGAAAAAAAAAAGATCTAATTTTCTTATCTAATTTTCTGGTTAGAGGCCAGAGTGGCAAAAATTTGCATAAGGAAATTTATGAAAGTCTTTCCCTTTTTTGCCCGGTACAGAGAGAAGTAGATGAATCTGCCTATACATAAGATAGAGAAGTTGATCTCAAGTGACCTTGGAGGACCATGTAAGACTATAGAGAAAACACATATGTATTAGAGAAGATGGCTGTGACATAATTTGTTCTTTTAATTTCATATTTGAGGAGATTGGCTCACATTTATTTTTTATTTTTTAAATTTTTATTTGTTTATGATAGTCACAGAGAGAGAGAGAGAGAGAGAGAGGCAGAGACCAGGGCAGAGGGAGAAGCAGGCTCCATGCACCGGGAGCCCGACATGGGATTCGATCCCGGGTCTCCAGGATTGCGCCCTGGGCCAAAGGCAGGCGCCAAACCACTGTGCCACCCAGGGATCCCTGGCTCACATTTATGATCAAGCTTTACCCACCAGTATCTGTCACCTTAATCTGCAAAGAAATTTGCAAGTTGCAATCATAGAAATTGCTATGTCTTGGGTCTACCTCTCTAGTTTAAGATAATTTCAAGGTCTCTCTCCCTTTCCTAAATTGTCAATATTGGAAGGGATCCAAGGTTTTGATGAGAGTAAAATTTGAAAAGAGAGATTCTTACTTGGGCCAAAGAACATTCGGTTTAAAATAGCTCATCCAACAGGTATCAGTATTGCATTTAGCACATCTGAATCTCCACAAGGTGACTCATATCCACCTGAAAGAATCAAATTGTAAGTTTTGTCGCAATATGTTAGAAATAGGCCTTTCTAAGTCTCAAAAGCTCACTTGTCTTCAGACAGAGTTAAAGAAATCTCAGCTTTAAGGGATAGCCCTGCAAATGCAGATGACATTGAATACTGTCACACAAGAGGTGACGGAGGAAGATGCAGAAGGCAAGAGAAATGAAAGATAACTAATCGTTTAATTCTCTTTACAGTTTTTCCAAGAGTGGAGCCTGCTTCCATTCCTTGTCATTTTTACCTAGAGACTCAGTACTAAACAACTAATGAAAGATCATATCAGGAATGTTTTCTCCCTAGGAGATGAACCAAAGCTGGCTATTAAGCTTTAACTATAAAAGATTCTAAAGGAAGCTAATATCAGCATCAGCACTCTGTGGTGACCAAGACAAACAAAATTATTCTAAGGGCAAAAAGAAATAGGAACCTTGCTGCATAAAGTGGGCAGTGCATCTCTGTGGCCACTGCTATAATTAGTTTACACAGGCATGCATTCTAATTGATTAGCAATATAAAGCCTAATTTAATGTCATACATATCCTAGTGCTAATCAAGCTTGCTGATACATGTCTCAAGCATTATCAGCATGAAGAGAGATATTTTGCCAAATGTACAAGGGTGAGGAAATAGGGCCGTTGTAAACTCAGGGTAAGAGAGTTGGAAAGGCATCTGCATCTGGCCTCTTGCTAGCCTCATACCTCCTTTGCCACATTTTTGCAAATGTGATGCCCCGACCCTATTCGTCCATGGTGCCTTGCACAAAGCAGGCACTCACCTTCGTGCAGTTGAATGTAATGGTGAATTGAATGGAGTCAGAACTAAAAATTAGGAATCTCTGATTTCTTAACCTACCTTTTGCCAACAGATTTGTGAGTTTCGAAAAACCCATCTAACTTCTTTACCTCTTAGTTGTCTCATCTGTGTAATAACAGGTTAGACTCTATAAGCCCTGAGGGACTCTCTTACCCTAAACTGTGATGAGCTATCCTTAGGAAAGATACCCGTTCAAGTGCACCTCTGCTGTACTTTCTCCAAGCTTCCATGCCATGTGAATTTTTCCTTCCTTCCTCTCTCTCTTCTGTGTGTTTTTTGATGGAGTTGACTCCCCTTCTTGTTCCCGGGGTTAGCATATGGTCAGCCCTGGCCAATCCAGGCTTCAAATTCCTCCAGCCATTGTCATGTGTTCCAGTCAAAGCCAATAGATACAGTGATACTTAGGACTGTTGGGACAATTCTTGGGATGATAAGAGACGGGAACTACTAGAATTAGATTATAAAGCCAACAGGCAGAAGGCTGAGCAAACAAAAAGGGAGAAACTGAGTATTGACAGCACCATTTGATCCCCTGACTCAAACTTCACCCAAAGCCAAAACAACCTGTAAACTTTTCTATTATGTCAACCCATGAGTTTCTTTTACACTTATGTCTGCTATAGGTGAATTTCTGGTCAGTAGAAATGGAAAAAGTGCTTACCAGTAATACTTATGCATGCCCTAGAGTCTTCCTAACCCTTTGTAATCCATGAATATTTGGCAATAACAGAATGGACTAAATGGACACCTGTCCCATTCATCTGTCACTACAAAAAACAAGGTCTCTATTAATGGGAAGAGAAGTCTGCCTCAAGTGTGTGTTTTACTAATGAAAGTAAGCTATCAATCCCTATCTCTAACTAAGGAAGATAAAACTCATATGATGAATCTTTCTCCAATAGGCTTGGTCTCCAACCCCCTGATAGGTTTCCAAAGACCACAAAGAACAGTTCAACAATGGCTGACTTAAGGGAAAGACTCCACTATTTATTGGGTATTTTTGGTATTCTGTGCAGTTATTGAAATACATACCTGCGTGTTATTTCATGTTTCCTTACTAATGTCCTTCTCTGTCCTCTCTTTCAGACATGTTTTAGCATATTTTTCATTTGATTCCCAGGTGTATCCTCTGCCCTTCTTCACCTTATACCATGTTCTATGTGGTTGGCATTTATGGTCTTATGATCCATGAAGTTCCTTGCTTTCTAGCTTCAGGTTGGGTTTGCCCAACGAGAACCACTGAGATATGGGCAGGTAGGATGGAGGGAAAGATACCTCTTGCCCCAACCCTCTCCCTGTCTCATTGCTTTGAGTTATACACAAAGACCACATTCTCAGAGCCCAGTTTTCACAATGCTTTCTCTAGTAAAGGGGTTCTCAGCATTAACACCACTGACATCTTGGGCCAGATATAACACTTTGTTGCCTGCATCTGTTTAACAGCATCCCTGGCCTCTATCCACTAGATGCCAATAGCATCCCCTCAGTCATGACAACCCAAAATGTTTCCAGATGTTGCCAAATGTCCCCCAGGAGAAAAAAATGCCCTCCCTTCACTCACCCCTACCATTAAGAACAACTGGAAGCTACTCTTCTCAGGTTTATTTTTATTTTTATTTTATGATAGTCACAGAGAGAGAGAGAGAGAGGCAGAGACACAGGCAGAGTGAGAAGCAGGCTCCATGCACCGGGAGCCCGATATGGGATTCGATCCCGGGTCTCCAGGATCGCACCCTGGGCCAAAGGCAGGCGCCAAACCGCTGCGCCATCCAGGGATCCCCTCTTCTCAGTTTTTATTAACAGTTCCCTCCCTTTGCCCCTTCAGGCCTAGAAGTAATAGCATACCCCTCACTGCTAACACTACAGTGGGTCTGTCTCTATTCTGGTTCCTTTGCTTTTGTAAACAGCTCTTTTACTAAAATTGTCCTCAGTTGTCTCGGTTCAGTGTGTTATGTGTTTGCTATCGGGACACTAATGGATATTCTTCCCCGATCCTACCAAACTATTTACTGTCCACCTCTTAAAACCTGCTTACTTTCTTTGCATCTTGTACAAGTTCTGCTTAGAAGAGAAATAGAGGCGGCATTGATTGCAAGCTTACCACATGTCAAATATGGTGAATGTGGCTTACATAATTGTGGTAAATATTAATGATTGGCTGTCTCATCACCATCCATTTTCTCTTTTCTAAAAGCACTTTAATTTGGGTTCAAGTATCCACCCCTCCTAGACATAACCCTTGTGCTTCAGGCAGAGCTGACCCTACTGCTAGCTTCAGATTGTTTGAGGGTTGTTAGGACTCACCATTCTAAGAATAATCCATTAAGCCTTCAGTGATAAGCATTAATTAAGACTTTGGCTCACAAATAAGCATGTGCCACAATTTGGCCAAATGAGACCTGAAGAGCAATTTGATGGCAGTTCTGGGAGCAATATTTCCTCACACCAGAGAGTTGCCTATAATGGCCTCTTTTTCTCTGAATTTTCCTTATGCATTATAAGGTCTAGAACTCTTGCAACCATCTCAATAGTGGTATGAGGAAGAAGTCATCACGGGCAGGAAGGTAAAATTAGAGAATTACAAAGAAACGAGGCCATCGATTCAATCCTACCTGACCGTTGCCAATCTTCTGGACTTTCTCAATTATGTTATCCAGTATATTTGTTCATTTTGAAGGGACTTTGGGTTAGGATTTCTGATGCTTGTAGCTAAAATCTTCCTATCACTCTAAGAGTGAGATGTGTGTCTGATGCTGACAAGCATTCTCAGCTGAGAGATGTTAAGCAACCTGTTTAAAGAGACCAAACTAGGAAGTGTTCGAGCTGGACTAGATCTGCTGGATCACATGGTCTTTCTATTCCATGCCTCTCTATTTGACCCAGCCATTTTAAATTATTCAGCTTCCAGTGCTCACACAGAAAAGACACAATTAGGTAAGTTTTGATGAGGGGGAGGGGGAGCAGTTATATAATCCAGGAGTCTGCAGTAGTTTCCATGAGTTTAAAGGACAACTAAACTAAATATAGAGTTGCCCTCCCCTGGTGACTTGGCCCTTTGAGGCACTTGCTGATTCTGCAGGGCTCTCTGTGTCTTATCTACCATCTCCACCTCATTGCCTTAGAACAGGCCAATGGCTCTCAACCTTGTGCTTCCCTGTGGGGGCCAAGAGAACATCTACATTTTTTCCGTGTCACATGGAACTTTGCATAATTATGTCTTGCTTCCACTTTTATTCTATCCCTATATTTCAGTGGGAGGCCAGTGTACAGATCTGCTTTTAGATTTCCTCTCAAAATGACTACCACTCTCCCAGATGCCCTCTTGGGTTTCCAACACAGAGAAAGGAAGGTATGTAATCATGTCTGACCAGTTGCCTTGCCTCATTTCTTAGCCTTTCCTCCTCACTCCCACATGGAGTGGAAGGGCAGGATTTACACTTCCTTTTGTTTGTGTATTCACATCTCTGACTTTGACCTCTTCCTGGGACCCTAGAGTGGATTGGGTATGGAGAGAAAAGCTACTTTTTTGAGCATATTTCTCATGAAGCATTACAGAAATAATTCTCCCATCCCATTACAAATGTCAGCACATTGACCATATGGAATTGTTTTGAGAATAAAATGAGATTGGATAAAAGCTGTTGATAAAATGGAAATTACAAGAAAAAGTAAGATGTCATAGTATTATTATTAAGTCACAAAGGAAACAATCCATGTAGCCCCATATTCCAATTGCAATATACATCTGTACTGAAAACAACTTATGGAATTAAAAGATGCCAACTGTGTACTACTACAGTATGGAGCAAGAAACCAATCAATAAATTATATTAGTAGGTTCTTAGTAAATCTTTGACTCATGAAGTAGCATTTTAGAGTGAGACAATCTTACAGATTTTTAGTCAATGGTTCTCTGCCTTTGCTGTACAACAGAATCATCTGGGGAGGACAGAACTAATGCAGATGCCCTGGGCCGATGTTCAAATCCACTACATTAGATTAAATGTTCCTTCTTGAGAAGAATGACATTACATGAAAAAAAATGAAAGAAGCTAAAAATTGTTAATATAAAATTTTTGGTATTAAAAGTTAGAGCCCTTCTGGAAAATCAGGACTTCCACATGGATAGGTTAACTAATGTAAAAACCTGAGATCACTTGCCCAGCTGGCAAT